CAGAGAACACAGGTAGGCAGAGAGGCAGGCAGAGAGAGGAAGGGAAGCAGGCTCCCTGCTGAGCAGAGAGCCCGATGCGGGGCTCGATCCCAGGACCCTGGGATCATGACCTGAGCCGAAGGCAGAGGCTTCAACCCACTGAGCCACCCAGGCGCCCCATGCCTGTAGAGAGTTTAATGAAAGGACTGTTTGCCAAGGCATAAGGGATGGGATATGGGGTTTTGGAGTTAGTAATGACTTGGAATACTGACCACTTCTACACTTGAAAGAAAAGGGGGTAGGCATCTGGACCTGTGGCAAGGGTATCTGATAGGTCCTGCAGCCTTTAGTAGAAAACCCAACAGGGAAGTGGCCAGGAAAACATATACCCTAACTTCCCTCCTTAGACACTTTTTTTTTTTAAATAAAATTCAATTAACCAACATACAGTACATCATTATTATTTGATATAATGTTCAGGGATTCATCAGTTGTGTTTAACACCCAGTGCTCATCGCATCTCCTCAGGTGCTTCTAACCCAAGAGGAAACCAGAGGAGAAAAGAAGAGTTAGGGCAGTCTTTTGAAGTCAGCTTCCAGAGGTACAGAACGAGAAGGAGAAGAATGGAGGATGCAAGTGGAGAGGCAGGGGGAGGACACCCAACACAGAAGTACAGCTGCCCTTCTGTGATATTCTCTCGTAAATGAAATGATGTTCCACTAGAAGTTCTCTGTCACCACACTTCCTTTTGGGATATATTTAGAAAGTACACTTAATGAAGTTGACCTTTTAACTGGTAAAGCATAAAATCCACAATCAATAGCAATTTACACAGGAAATTCTTCTTACTCATTCACATACCACGTTAGCAGTTCGAACTCTTTTGAATAGAGGGTGATGAGCAAAAAAAAAAAAAAAAAAAAATTACAAAATCACCTTGCGAGTGACTCAAATGATAATATGTTGAGTTTTCTCTTATTTTTAGCCCTCAGTTATCATATTATCTCAAAATTTGATCTTGATTCATTTTTATCACTTAAATTGCTTTATTTTCAGTTATATTTTGAAAGGATTTAATCTTTTAGAATTACACAGTTTAAAAATCTATTTTAAAAACTAGATGGCAGTTCTAAAAGCTAAAGGGTGAAAGAAGGCCCCAAATTATTACCCAACAATAAACTAACAGGGATTTAGATTCTAAAATGCTACATTTTAGATTCATTTTGAGTTATCACCTAATAAAAAATGAACATAACTCATTGTTTATAATTTTCATTTTTAAGGAAATGGTAATCTACCCATGCGCTCTTCTTTATTGATCTGCCATAATTTCATCTAAGCTTTGATATTTGTGCTAAAATTAAGTTAGCAATAAAATGACAAGACTTGTGATTCCTCCCCACCTTTTCTTCCTCTTTGTAATGGTCCAAATCATCAAAGAGGACATCTTAGCTCCATGGTTTTCATGCTCTTTTGATTGTCAGAAAAGTTTTTGCAAAGACTAAAGTAAATTAGCATAAACCCTGGAACACAACTAAATGTATAGTATGTCAATGTGTTTAGGTGCAAAGGAAAAAAAAAAAAAAACAGAGGGTGAAATCTCAATTTTAACTAAGAGAATGATTATCATAGAACTTTGAAAGTGGCTTTCTGGGAATGACATTAATATTCAGTAATGAATGATAATAGCATCTCTCATTTATTCTATTCTGTGATAAAAGGAAACCATGCATTAAGGTAGCTTGGAGTTAAAAATAACAAGATATCCTATTCTTTCTTTTTTTGAAAATTCCCTTTCATGACTTCTTTCTAAAGATGAGGTCAGGAAAAAAGACAAATTTAACTATGTAGATGACTACGATTGTGGAATGATTAAATTTGGTCTTCCTTAAAATAGATTTTGTAAACTGAGAACTACAAGGTTTGTCTGCTAAGAAAAAGCAACTTAAACCCATTCACTCACCAGACATTAAAGAGAATATTACTTATTCTTACATTGACAATACATGGTATCGTAGATACCTTGCAGTGTTAATCCACTTATTCACTTTTTCACTAAATAGTGTGGACAGGAAAATAGTAATAATTCAGTCTTTAAAATATGTGGCAAAACAGATAAAATATTTGAGGAAAATATACATTATTAAGTATGTAAGTACCATAGAGTTAAATAAATAAATAAATAAATATTACGGCCACATCTTACTCATTTCCCTATTTCCAGTGCCTTGCACAGAATAGATCCCAGCAACAGGCATTTGTCTGCTCTTTATTTGCAAGTTGTTTTCATTACAAATGGAGAGTACACTATCTTGCTGAACACAATTTATTAAACTACTTTAATGTACTATTAGTGCTTTGAATTTTACAATATGTCAAAAGCAGGCAATTTTTGTTCCATGAACAGGTTGTTGAGACAGTATCAGAAGCAATTTTCTCATTTATTTATATTTCCAGGCTTCTCTCATCAATCACGGGTAATGCCTGTAGACAGGGGTGTACAGGGTTGACTAGTGTGTGGGTTGCTAGTCAATAGAAGAAAGTTTCCTCCAGAGCTGAGGTAGATCCAAGTACCTACGTTAAAAAAGATGTCCTCAAGGGAAGCATGATGCAGCTAATATTTCATCAAACCTATGCTCTTAGAATACCATTTCAAAAGATTTTGAGTAGAACAGAAAATTTTGAGTCTGGAAAACAATTTGGCAACTAGAAAATATTGGGTGTTTCGCACTTTATTGACCCAATCCCCAACTCCATTGAAATCTAATTAATAAGTATCCAAGAACATAAACTCCAGAGTCCCTCATTTTTGCAACATTGTGATTTGTGGCAGATAGCAAGGCAAAAGTCAGATCACCATTCACATTTCTCATTTCAACCTAGAAGACCACAAATTTGCTCTCTCTCTCTCTCTCTTTTTTTCTTTTTTCTCCCTCTCTTTTCTTTCTTCACTATTTACCTTTCTGCCTTACATTTCTGCTTCTGCTTTTTCAGATAGCTCACCAGAAACCTCACAGGAAGAGGAGCAAAGTCTACATTGTCCACATTAGTGTCCTACATGGTGACAAGTCATATTAATGAAAAAAGATCACACATCTTCTGTAATTGCCTAGGCAATGTGACAGTAACTGAGCCCTGCCCGGAGAGCCCACTCCACTTCTGGTATGAGCTTCCAGTAAGCCTTGGTGGTGAATGACAAGTTAACCCCTTTGGAACCCCACCATTTTCAACACTCAGAGGACCTCTCTCATTAGTCTTATAAAATAAAGTATGAAATTCCAACAACAAATATCATGCTGTTAAATTAACAACATCACACTGCTACATACGACTTAAATATCTCCCATAACTTTATGACTGGAAAAACACTGTTCAGATTTCATTTACCAGTTTAAAAATAGCAAACTCTAATTTGAAACACATACACACACATCGTGCCCACTCATTAATATTCTTTCTTAGTGCTAGGCAAATGTTCCTTCCTATAAATATAAATAAAATTCAGTACAATCATAAATTTTAAAAGTCAGATTTGTCAAAAGATGATGTTTGTTATGAAACAAATCAAGAAAAAAATATTTCTTAGAGCCAAAATGATAAGCCACAATCTGTTGACATAACAGTGGCTATTCATCTATTTTTAATGTATAAATCAAAATTATTCTGTGTTTATTTTCACTTGAAGATAGTCCATTGATTATTATATCCCTGACCAATGAAATTTCTTCTTCTTGGGTGGGTGAGCACTGAGCAAAGCAAATAACAGATTTCCAACATCTGCAAATGGTGTGATAAGTTTTTTCAAGAAATCATAGGAAGATTGCCTTTGTAATTTTGTAGATCCAGACATGAGCTAAAAAGAAAATTAGAAAAGATGCCCACAGACCACTTTAAGTTCACAGCAAGTCCAAAATAATACTGCTGTGCTCCTTAACAAGGAGGGGTTGCTCTTTGTAGACAGCAGAAACACTTATAATACACAAGGCACTCCAATTAAGTTTTGATAGAAGTTACGTCACATTTCAACTCACCGCTGGATGTATGGGTCGGGACAGTACTGTAGGGTAGCACACCGAGAAGTTTCACAATTCATTTCCTTCAACTCTCTTTGATAATCAACAAGTGGAGAACAGTTAGAGAACATATACACATGTACCTGTGTATATATAGATAATAAAGCCAGGAGGCTAAAAGCAATAGGGTCAAATGCTATCAGACATAGAAGTTTAGACACTTCCCCCTTCGTACACATTTGCAAAGAGGCGGAGCATTTGTTGATTTTAGCCAATGAGATTCGTCAAGTGACTCAAACATCAGAAACAGTTGATTCTTACCAGCTGGGCATCCTCTCTCAAATTGTTCTTCCCCCTCTACCACGGCTTCAGAGTCCTGGAGGTATAGTGGTCACATTTGTTGGCAACTTGGAGGCATCTCTGAACTTCTGATCTCTCTGGTGATTGGATGCTGGCGTGAATGGCATCAGAGTTTAATTTCAGCAGCCGGGACTTTTATAACAGAACTGAGCTGATGAGTGTCCATCCTGCCCCAGCTAATTAATGTTTCCATGTATCTGCATACTGATTTGATTTGAGGACTTCTGTAACTGCTTCTGGAGGAGGGTTTTTTTTTTTGTTTTGTTTTGTTTTGTTTTTTTCATCTCCACCTCCCCGCCCCCTCCCCCCCCTCCCTTTCTCCCTTTCAGTCAACCGCCTGTTGTGGTCACAATCTCAAATAGCAAAGACAGGGAAATTCCTTGATTATATTTAACCTAGAACTCACTCTTCGTCTCAACTAAAAGAAACTTGTATCCATTCACATCCCTTAGAAGATTTTCCTTCCCCAAATAAAAGAAAATAACCTTTATCGAGCTGTGTCTCATTTTCAAATATCCTACCTCAAACACACACACACACACACACACACACACACACACACACACACAAGATTTTCTTAAAGTGATAATAGTTAATTATTTCAGACTATTTTGAAGCTTACAAAATTATTTTAAATTGCCTGTTACTGAGACATTCTGGTTTACTTCAATCTCTTTCACTCTGCCTTACTTTCTTATTATGTTTATTGTTTTTGCTGGTTTTGGTTTTGCTTTGACTCTACCTACTTTAGAGTAAAAACGTTAAATTCCTCCTATATCCAAAAATGAGTATAATATCAGAAAAGTCTACATACAGAATCACTTACTTCCTTTCTGAACACAGGCTGTAAACCTATCCTGGTTTTGTGGATTTGGAAATTGAATGAAATATGATTCAGAAGCTAAATTAAAATAGACTCCAGCAGAAAAAAAAAAAAAAGTTCGTGTGCCTAAGCGTCACTAACATGGCAAGTTCACATCCTCCACTCACCCGCTAATCACAGGTCACCTGTAAATGGATAGCATCAACAGTAGCCAAAAGTGTGAGATAATCGAAAATCCTTTTTGGAGAAATTTGACATTTCCTTAAAAGAAATTCTGGTTTTCAAAATGTGTTTCATAAAATATTTCATTTGTTGCTTCAGCCAGGATAGAAGGGAGAAGCTATTTAAAACTTGACATTCTCTTCCCTTACTTAGCCTGAGAGTGTCTAACATCTGTGAATTGTGAAATTCACAAACATGCTGGCCTGAGCCCCAGCCAAATCAAACAGCTTGTTCTACAAAATGTAAAACTTGAAGGGAAGATCATTTTACTAATTAATTATAGATTTGTTAATTGGAGTTACAGTGCTTGGCTTTACTCCTGCTCTTCGAATACAGGTGACCAGAATATAAAAAATTCATAAATTGAAAATAATTTCCTTTCACCATGGCCAAGTTCTTCCATCACACAGGGCCTTGTTTTTTCCCATTTATAAAATGAGAGGTGAAATAATGATCTGGTAGTGCAGGGCTTCTCAAATGTTAATGCATCTGTGAGTCACCTAGAAATCTTGTTAACACATCTTCTGGTTCAGTAGGTCTGTGGCAAGGCCTGAGACTCTGTATTCCTGAGAAGCTTCCACGTGACACTGATGCTGCTGGTCCTTGCATCACATTTGGAATAGCAAGACTTGGTGCTCTTTTCAGGCCTGATATCTATTTACTTCTAGGAAGTAAGTATAACTTGTTGACATATTTTAAATTACCAGGAGAGGCTCTAGATCCCCAAATAAGTTATCAATTTGCAAACATTTCTAGCATGTTTTTAATTGCAAAAGGTTTATAGCCTAATTTATAGAACAGAACATTTAAATTGCATGCCTTGACATCAATAGCTGTTATAAAAAAAATCCTGAATTTACTTAGCTAAGAAGGACAGATATTAAATGGCAGAAAATTTTCCATTAATAATCATGAACAATAATGGATCCTATTGCATCCCAAAAATAAATGCAGAGAGCTACCTTGAACAAGGGCAAAAAGGCAAACTCTCTAAGATTCAACAGCACATCAATATCACACAACCATCTATAACCTGGGAAAATAAGTGACAATTATACTATAATTAACATAATTGCCAGTTGTATTAATGTTACATCTGTCTTCCCCTCTGGAGTCTCAGGTTACAAATGCATAAGTTATTTCTTTGGTGTACAAGTTACATGCTTTTCCTGCAACTCAAGTCTCTTAGGCAAAGACTATACAATGAGATACACAGAAGCCTAGGAGAAGACAATTGCCTTTCTGACAAAGACCTACCAGTCTGAAGGATGTCGTTTGTGATGACTTTAAGTATGCGTGAAAAGGAAGAGAACATTAAGGACTTAGGGAAACAGCAGCATTTATGACCTGAAATTCTGGACATAACAGAAGAGAAAGGGACACTTTCTCCTTCCCAGCTCCTACCAGCTGAGAGTGTGCCCCGTGCCAAACTCTGGTATGTAAAATACATGTGAATTATATACATGTGAATTATTTCACTGCAGCCCTTCTTTATGCATTCCATCCACTGGTTACATACTTTCCTGGTTGCTCTCCTGCCCTGGATCATATTTTGTTGCCCTTTCCAGAACGTTTTCAAAGCCCATCTGTATATATCCACATCTCACAGATCCTTCAGAGGACAGAAAGCCTTTCTCATCCCTTCAGGTGAAAGGAAACTCCCCTACCTTTAATGTCCTGACTCATATCTGTAATTTTGTAATGGTACCTGCTACTTCCTTTGTGCATGTGGGCAATTTTTACATAAGCCCCATCTTCTGTATTGGATTGCGAACAGGATGAGGGTGACTTTGCTAGTTGATTTGTTTCTGTGTCTCTAGGGACTAGCAAAATACAGTTCAGTGGTGAATAACATGTTTATGTCATTGAAAAAAATCATCTAATCATAAGTAGTACAAGTGATTGAAAAAGAACCTTAATAAAACAATTGACTTTTAGAATCAAATTTACTGCTGTATAATTTACACACAATGAAATTCAACTAATTCAAAGTGTTTGGTTTGAGGAGTTTTGACACATTATATACCATATAGCTTCTACCACATCCAAAATATAGAATATTCAATTACTCCAAAAATCCTCTTATGCCCCTTTGTAAGTTAATTCTTTCACCACAGACTCTGGACAATCACTCTCTTGCTTTTTGCCATTATTATTTTTGTATTAGTATTTTTGCCAAGTACTAGTTGCATATTTTCTAGACTTTTTGCATATTTTCTAGATCCAAATACTAATATTTTACATTAGTATTTTTTCCAAATACTAGTTGCATATTTTCTAGAACAGCATTATCCAATAGAATTTTCTCTGATGAAGGAAATATTCTATATTTGCACTGTCCGGCATGGTAGCCACTAGTCACATGTGACTAATGTGATTGGGGAAAAAGATCTTTGTTTTTATTTTTATTGAATTTTAATCAACTTAAATTTAAATAGTCACATATGACTAGTGGCTACTATGTTGGGCAGTGCAAATATAGAATATCACATAAATAAAGATGCATAGTATGTATGTATTCTTTTGAGTCTAGGTTCTTTTCCTTGGCACACTGTTTTTGAAATATACCTATGTTGTTACATATGAGTAACTGGTTCTTTTTTTTATAGCTGTTGAACATGTGGATTCTTTTCCTTTTCCCCCTTTTTGTTATTAAGAATAAATTCTGGTCTCTGATACTCAATTATGGCCAGAAGTAAAAGTCCAATGGACTTTTAAAGAACTCAATAATAGTATGTCCTACTGGGTACCTTCGTAATGTGGAATAGCTCGTTTTATTCCCAAGGTTGCTAAATCTCTAGAGAAGACAGCAGATATGTAAAGAAACTGGCTAACCAGGATTTCACCTGGTCTCTGGTGCCAACTCACTCCCTGACCTTAGGCAAGCAGTGTTCTTTGAGCCTTAGATTCTTGATCTTTAAGAGGAAGGATTTATCAATGAAGATTATTTTGTTACAAGCAATAGAAACTCACTCTGGCTAAATGAAAATATCTTTTAAAAAAACATGAAAATTCAGAGTGGAAGAGAAAGTTGAAAATGAGGTTCAGGAAAGGGTCAGAAGCAGGATAGCTTCAGGGATCTAAGTAATAGGAATGAGTAGAGTCACTTCATTATACCACAGCAGGAATAAATCACACCCAACAGGTTTTTCTAAACTTGTGTCATTTAGTTTAAGATTAAAATTCTTAGAAGGAAGGTGCCATGTTTGGCCCAGAAAAGTCTAAGCACACTAATCCACAGCCCCACCAAGACTGGGGCAAAGAGAGTTTCCAAAAGAAAATAGAGTTTCTATTACCAAGGAAAGGGCAGTAGGTACAGGACAATTGAAAACAACAGATGTCTCATGAGGGGCTTAAAGTGGATGATCTCGCACATTCCTTAGAGCTCTGGCTGTCTGTGGCTGTGGGATTGGAGCAGCTAAATTGTCTTTCTTTTGGGTAACTAAACCTCAGGTCCTGTCCTCTCCAAGTCATCCTGGCTGGTGCCTCTTTTATAATATGGGAATCAGGAGAGAACATTTTAGCGTATAAGGTGATAGAGTAAACTCATCAAGTGTTGGTCACATTGAAGGAACTGAGGAGTGGGGTGATTTTTAGTCTTACAACACTGTGTAGTACAGGATTTAGGATTAACTCCACAATCTCTATTTTCATGGAAACCAAGTTCTGCCTTGGGGGAGGATTCTACTAACCCTTCCACCTTTGTGGA